TTAAAGAATTCGTATTTATTCATAGAAATCTCTTGTTGTTGTCCAGTAGATTAGAATAATCGAGAAAAACATTCTTGTACAATTGTCCAATTTAATTGATGAGATCCATAGCTTCCATAATCTGATTGAAATAGATATATGTAGTTTTTCTATGTAATTACAGAGCAGCAAAGAATAATTTTTAATAATCGATGAATTAATTTTTACACGAGCTTTTACACGAGAATAAATTTCAATTGATGTAGAATGGCTCTTGTTAAATTGTACAAGAATATATTGCAAATTCCGTAAAAATATTTGCGTTTTACGAATTTAAAACCATCGCTAATCCGAGTGCAGTTGTGCGAATTGTACATCTGATACAATGGCACTTCTCGATATTTATATTGCGAATATGTACGATCATTCAAATCGTTAAAAAAAACTTTTAACCTTTAAGTAATATTGAAAGTATTGTTTTTTTTCATTACCAATGAAAAAAAATGTGATGTAAATTTTGTTTAAAGAAAAAAATCGTTATTATAATTTATCTTCTAATTTCAAGATAATAAATTTTTCAAGAACTTCAAGATAAATAGTAATTAATTTAAAGTAACAATTGTAAGTAATTTTTTTCTCTTTGACTTTTCTTCCTTGTTTTTTTTAACTACTTTTATTTAGACGAATTCTTATTCACCTTGTTTAATAAATTAATTAGTTTCCCTTCTTGAAAAAGCTTCTCTCTAAAAATCATTTTCTTCTTCTTCTCTCTCTCTCTCTCTCTCTCTCTCTCTCTCTCTCTTTTTTAATTCGTTTTGACCCATTTTCTCAGAATCTAAAAGAGCGTATCCAATTAAATTTTTTACGCCGATTCATAACAAGTTGCTAAATGTACTCTGTAAAGAACTTTGAAAAATAATGCTTACGTTGATTGAAAAAGATTGGTCAGTCATCACTTTTCAGAAAACTTTTTTCCCAAACTATATATATATAATTCCTCTTGACGTGTTTATTTACGAAATCAAACGTTCAATTTATTTTCTATTGTTGACGGATTACACACACATGCACATACACATATTCCATCAAAGTTTGATGGAAAAGTTTGATGGTTTCAAAGGGAGGAAATGGGTCATCAATTTCGGAATACTCGCATAGGTTAGAATTTGATTGTACGTTTCCTTAAATTGATAGAATGGCTCGAGACGTTGCAAATAATTTGCCTCTGAAACTTTAATTGATTTCAATTATTGCCAAAATTACAATTCCAGCAAATTCTTCGAATATTCAAATCGGAATTACTTATTCGTTCGAAGAATTTTTTTTCAACTTTCAACAATCAAACTATTTCAATATCGTAAATTTACTCAGTTTTGGTTCAAATATTTAACAAACTTCCAACATTCTGGATAAAATGATTTTATTGCTGATGAAATGAATACGAGACCACTAAAACAATAAAAGTTATATTAAAATTAAATTTATTTTATTTAAAAATTACAATGAAATCTTCTATACCCGTCATTAATCGTAATTCATCGAATCGAGGCTCAAAACAAAAAAATAAAATTTTAACCAGAAATTTAACTTTCATTGAAAAGCAATAAGAAACTTTTGTTAAACAATTATTCTTGATTGTAGGAATATAGACGAATATAGAAAAATATTGAAATATAATTGAAAATTAATTAAATGCTTGTATATAACTGTTTATATATTTCATGTAATATTCACTCGTGTTCTCAAACTTATCCGAAAAGAGACACCAACATTCTGGATAAAACGATTTTATTGCTGATGAAATGAACACGAGATCGTGTACTAAAACAATAAAAGTTATTAAAATTAAAAACAATAAAAGTATTAAAATTAAATTTATTTTATTTAAAAATTACAGTGAAACCTTCTATTCTCGTCATTAATCGTAATTCATCGAATCGAGGCTCAAAACAAAAAAATAAAATTTTAACCAGAAATTTAACTTTTATTGAAAAGCAATAAATTTTTGTTAGACAATTATTCTTGATTGTACGAATACAGACGAATATAGAAAAATATTAAAATATAATTGAAAATTAATTAAATGCTTGTATATAACTGTTTATATATTTCAATTCATGTAATATTCACTCGTGTTCTCAGGCTTATCCGAAAAGAGACATTACCAACATCGTAGAGTCGTCGCACTATGTAAGGGTGAGCGGATGGTGCAAGCCAGGAAGAACCAAATGCAAATTGTCACGTTGGGTCAAGCCGTACAGATGTCTCGGTACGTATTAGCATCAGAATTGCTTCTGTGATAAGTAATCTGGATAGACAGTGTTTCAGTTTTCATTTAACTCGGCTAGCTTGTTCGGGTTTAATAGAGTTGACGTGGGTCTCTAGAACGATGAAAAATTAAATTTTTACGCGAGAGTTGAATTTTAGCAGGTATGCAAATTTGCAGTGATAGCGAGATTGCATCTATGGATTGATTCCTCGTGTGAGGAAAAAAAAAGAAAAAAAATTGAAGACCTGTAGTTTTTTTTTCAATTCAAAGTTTCGCTTTCGAATAATATCGAATTGAGAGAAAATGAAAAATTGAAAATTGAATTTTTGCATGAATAGATCCTTTTGTAAAAACGCAATATAAACTTGTGTCCACGGAATTGAATATTTAAAGAAAAATTTGTTAAAATTAGAAAACAAACTTTTTGTAATCAAAAATGTAAAGATATATATTTTTGAAAATTTTTAAATACGATATTTAGAGAGATTTATACGTTGTAAAATGTATATTTTTATTATTACCGTCTTTAATAAAAGTATAGACGAAAAAAATAAAATTAATTTCGATGAGAATAAAATCGATGATTCAGAATATATTTTTTTTCACAAATTTGATATATTATTTTAAAACATTTGCATATTTTGATCAATATGTAATACAATTATTATTGCATATTTCGTATATATTTAAATAACGTTTCCTATTTTCTTTTTCTACTACATATTATACGTATTTCGCACAAAATTTATGAACTTGAATTTAAATATGTATGAGCGTATTTGTGTCAAAGTTTACCTGCGTACGTTCACCAACTAAAGCAGTAATACGTTTTAATGTGCTCTTTTCACGTTAACCAAAAGTATATTCTTCTCAATAAATACGATTAGCTGTACTTCTAAGTTATTGTACTATTAATAATCTCGCGATAACTGAAACGAATATATAATAACTAAAACTGTTTCTTGCTTGAAAAAATTCAATATCAAAATCTACCATAAACAATTTTAAAGATATAAATTACGTTTCGTAATTTTCTGGCTTTTCAATCTCTTAAAAAAAAAATTCTTTTTTTAAAAATTATAATTACTCGACACGATTATTAATTCTTTTACTTATTACAATACATATAATGGATGATTTTATTAAATCATAGAAGAGATCTCGTGCATTTTCTACAATTCGTTTCAAATTAAATTAACACCAAGACGAAAAGAAATCGACTATTATTCGATTAACACAATTTATACTCTTCGACAAACACAACCCTCCTTTCACTGAATTATATACACACACATATATATACACGTCGAAAAAATTTCTTTCATTTTCCGGATTCGATGGCTTCCCTCGTTAAATAAAGAATTGTCAACTGTTCCACTTTGACGCATTGAACACTGATAAACGAGACGCACTGAGAAAACTCGCAAAGATTGTAATCCGCTCGCTATTATTGAAATCCTTTCCCTTCGAACAAGAGCATAAATTCAAACGCAGCTACGTGCACGTAATAGACGCATTAAAGCGCGCGCGTAAAACTTTTACATTCGCCATTCATTGTCCTAATTAAGAGGATATTTGAACCATTAGTACATGACACGGTAACTCGTTTTACGAGCGTTGAAACGTATTCCACCCTGCGCGACGTTGAATGTCACAGTGTTTCGCAACCTCGATGCTTGTAATAATCGTTCGTTCGAGTTTACTTCTCCTTTGAAATATCCTCGATAGCCAGGTTTATACACGATGCAATTTGTGTAATGTTTATTCGATTTAAAATTCAAATCGTCCCACGATCATTCGAATCTTCTTTCCAATATAATATAACAACGCTTATAAACCGTTAATATACTTTTCTCAACTTCGTTTATCGGCAATCGATGTTAATTCCGTTCGAGGATCATTATTTAATCCGTGTAGCAAGAAATATATATATATATATATAT